GTAACTAAGGCATAAAAATTATAAACTTATTAGATTAGATAACAGATAACAATAATGATAAAAATGTTTATGGTATCTTCAATATGGTAATGTGAGCTATTCGTTCAGTTCGCCACCTTTGTCATGTGATTTACAACTTCAGGGGTGGGGTTATTAGTTAGACATAGTTCAAAGGGCAATAAAATTAAGTATAAACAGATGGAGACTGTTACAAGCTTCAAGTTATTCATGATAAACAATCGTAATGTTCTGTTTCAATCTGCAGAAAAAAGATAAATTAGATATATTTCATATTTTGTATGGTTGTTACGAGGTCAGTCAAATTGAACGAGTCCACATAGAGTTAAGATTGAGAAAATAACAGCTAATATATAAAGTTCTACTGGAAAAAACGTTTGGTATTTATTTAGGTGGTTTTAGACTTACAGAAATGAAATTTGAAACTTTTCAGACGAAGAAAAGCGGTTTTTACTTTTAACATGAAAATCACTTTGCACTTGGATCAGTCAACATTTTGATCCAATATATTCATGAACAAATTATTAGTAAAAAATACTTAATTAAAAAACCTAATTTTTCGTTTACAATAGACTTGTAATGTTTACTGAAAGCTTGCCAGATTTTGTGAAGATACACAACAAATATTAAAAGTTATAGTTTGGAAACTATGATTACTTTGTGGTTTCAGAGGTTCCATTAAATTTAATTCCAGTATCTAAGTATTCATGAGGATTTCTTTTTTTTAAACCAGTAACAGCTTGGTATAGCATTTAACACTTACCTCCAAAACCTCCAAACTGCACAAAGAGAACAGGATAGAAGAACTTGAAGGAGAATGTCACAATATACTCATGAATAACAGCAGACAGCAAGAACACAGTAAACATTGGAGCCATACTTTTGATTCCCATAACCTGAAATAAGTAAACATAATTCCAAGATTGATAAACAAACAAAATTTTCAATAGTTTTTGAAACATTAGAAATAAAACATAATCAGAAATTAACACTTCATTAATTCGTTTAGAATATCATGAAAGAACTTTATCTTATAACAATAATTTTCTTGTATTTGATGCTCCAGAAGGGTAATTTAAAAACATGTTGCTGTAACTAACTGCACCTACGTATTTTCCTTTAAAAACTAAGAAAATGCAATTGTTCATGAGATCCAAACTATTTTTTTTCAGCTATAGTTTTATGAATTTTCAAAACTTTGCAATCTATTTTAAAAGTTACATTTGTTTGAGAAAAACAACAAAAAAGGTACATTTGCGATTCAAAATTTTTTATTCAACCTGAAACAATATAACCCTCCAGACACATCTCTGCAAACCTACCTGATGCATATCTTTGTAAACATAGGTGTACAGCCAATCGTGAACAACAACATTCCATGTTCTGTAATAATTGGCAAATGACGTGGAATTCCACCAATCCTGTGGGCCACAAAATCAGGCATATACAATTTTAAAAAAGTTATCCAATGAACAACAAATTATGAAGCATTCAAAATGAAAACTTCAAGAAATATATTTATGAAAGGTTCAACATCACTTGAAAGTTCTTCGACAAACATACATACTACAGAAATAACAAACATTCTAGCAAAACTTTGTGCATAAAAAGTTCATGGTTTCATATTTAACTGTTCAATAACGGATTTTATAATAAGACATGAAACTTTCTCTTCACGTGTAAAATGTTCAGATACGATTAGTTTAACAAATAAAAACCCATAAGCATGACGACTTATCACACTCAAAACTGGGTTTCAATACCCGTGGTGAGCACAGCACAGATAGCCCATTATGTAGCTCTGTGCTTTAATATAAGACTCTATGGATATCATCAATAAAACAGTCTTATTACAAGTCTTTTTTTATATCTGAAAAATCCAGTGTACGTGAACAAACTTTATCCCTCTTCATTACATAAACAAAGTATCACAATTCTTTAACATAATAAATATGTTAGTTGGAACAAAAACTTCAGCAATTATCTTTAAACATCCATGATATTCCAATACTTCAAAAATTGTTATTAAATGACAAAATGTAAAACTCACTTTATAAAACATTCGATCTCCAAAGCGCATCATTTCAGCAAAAGCATTCATCCACAGATGTAAAACAGCAAAGAAAGAGATGAAAAGGAGTAAGGTGCCGGGCATCATGCACCCGAACACGGCAAGCAGAAACTCTCGTGGGGTAACTCTTTCATGCCCAAACCTCTGGAAAGCTGGTACACAGAATCGCTCAAATATATAGTACACATAGAATAAACAAGCCAGTACCTGGAGAAAGTTCATAGCTACAAAGCGCCACCTAATACAAGGTGTCCTAAAATAAGTAAAAAATATGTTAATACAAAATGCAACTGAAAACATCTGTTAGTTTCAACTTGATTGATATTAACATATATCTTTCCCAACTACAATAGTCACCGCTTCTGTCTATAAGTAATGGAATCACCATTACCTTTGTAAGACTAGGTATCATGACTTTTGTTAACTATGTTCTTGATAGCAATAATTTTATATCTTATAAATCTACGTAAGATCGATTTTGCTTGATAACATGTTAGCAACAAAACTTTGCATAAAGTTTCCGACCTGGGATAATTATCCCTGTAGACAAGAGTTGGGACAAAAAGGAAGTACAAGAACTTCCCAAAATCTGGACATGGGGTATTGTCCTCTTTTTCTCCATCTGGAAAAGAGAATATATATATATTCATGTATACATGAATACCCTTTAAAAGGTATCTGACTGCAAATTCCTTAGTTTTTAATTAGTTCACATTAAAGTTTGTATCAAATATCAAATTTTGATTTAAAAAATAACTTTTATTCCAAAAAATAAACATTTTAAATACTCTCAATAAAACAAATATTGAAATCGCAATTGCAAGGTCATCAAAAACTATCCATTCTTATTGATGTATTGTTACACAAAAAATTAGGCCTACCAGAAGTAAATCTGGGAATGATTAAGTACTTTTAGTCTTTTATTAATTAGTTGTAAAAACAAGTTGGATTTCTTAAAAGTAAAATTATGATTTCATATTGAGATGTAATCTCTAAATCGTTATCCCACAGTTACTGAGCATTTTTATGACTAACAAATAAAATTTTCGGTACTGATTACATAGGCCTGCGATGGTTTTATTATCATGAAATTCGTACATGTTCTACTGCAATTCCTGTAGGATGAATCTGAAAATGATATCCATTTTTCTCTATCACGTACACATTTTTAACAAAACGTCATAACGCAATGCATAAAATAAAGACAATGTGTAGTTTTGAGACTAAAAGATGTAGATTTCACAACAAAAAAAAGAGGATGAATGAGGATGCATGTTTGTTTCGACATCAGTGTTCTTCCCTTTACTTCAGCTTTTTTGTATTTTTGTTAACGAACATAATAATAAAAAATGTTAATTGTGGTAAACGAAATAATAATTTGATCTAACTATTTTGTACAAAATCCTTACGTGATAGGAAAAAAAAGAACCTTATTTTCAAAATTTGCATAGCTGAATTATGGAAAATCTGTTATTAAAACCAAAACAAATTTTATAAAGTTTAAATTTGCAGGCCTGTGTAATTAAATTACCAATAATTAACTGTCACTGCAAGATACTTAACTTTCTAGTATATACACACTTCACAACTACATGAAACCTAGTCTTATTCTTATGATTTCCCCATAATCTAGGGTTACCGATGAAGAATGGAATTCTCCAAAACAGGTATAACTCAGTAATAAATGGTAAACTGAATGATATGTTGGGCTTCACATTTACTTGTCAACTTAATAATTCACAAGAACAAATTTGTAGCATCACTACTACATATTCTTGAAATTTATAAATAAATAGAGTTTCACTATGTCAGTAAAATACAACTCAAAACTCTGTTCATATTCCAAATGACAATTTTTACACTATCAATCTCCAATATACATCAATACAATTAGCAATCACAGCATCTCTACCCCTCTACAATGCAAGAAGTTATGACTACACAATACTTGAAGCACTTTTGTAACATGGTATATTTTACATCAAAACAAATGCAACTTTTTCATTACTATTTGTTTCTCAGTTATAACATGTTTCAAACTGACAAATAAAATACAACAAATCAGAAATAAAAACCAGATTTTCCCAACTAGGTTCTTGCACCAGAGAAATTTAAAACCATATGCAAATGAAGAAATTATGCTTTTATCTTTTCCTACTTTAAGGTGAAAGCAAATATTTTAACAAGATTTCAAAGAAAAAAATCCTGAAAGACAAATTAAATATTTACAGTCAATACTAGCACTAGTGAGAGCAGGGGGATGTTCCCTGAAATGTCGTTGCCTCCCCAAGTTAATGATGTCCATTCATCTATTTTTATATTTAATTTAAATTTGGCCCCCATTATATGTTTTAAAGCCTCCCCTCCTCCCATGAACCCAAAACAAAATGAAGTTATTCAGTACCACTTACCTTGGTGGGGTTTATAATTTTTGGCTCTAGGTACATTTTCTCTAACAAAAGCATGAGTTTTCATGACAAGGCGAACCTGAAAAAGGCATAGTTCTTACAATAATCATCATCACTCAGCAATAAAAAATAATTTCAATATTGACATTTTTATATGCTTTTTACACCACAGAACATACAGAATATTCTTCCACCAAAATACTAAAGCATGTTATGTATAACTTTATCACAAAACAGCTATATTCCACAATAATTGCAATGGATTTTACTCAGTTTTCTAGTCTAGTTTACTTCCATTATTCACATAGAACAACATTTTCAAATATCATCAAACCATATGATCAGGAGAGTAATATACAAATTATAATACACAGTGTGTTTTGCATGTATATACACCCCCCCTCCCCACAACAAACATACATGAATGGTTAACTAAAAACTTAATGACCAAATCAACATATTTCTAATTTGGTATTAGTAACCAATCCCAAAACATTAAATAACTGTGTTCTTCAATTTAAACTAACAAGTTTACCAAGAACTCATAAGTAATTCAAAAATGTCATGTCCATTAGTAAAATCATTTATTGTAAACATACTACTCACCAATTAGCTACATACATGCCTTTAATTTTACAGTTTACTACCCTTTCCCATAGTCTCAAACAAAATATAAATACATAGAACACCGAGGACCGATATGACACCACATTAGGGTTAACTGAGTAAAGATATCCCTAACGAAGTAGATGGCTTCAAAAGACTTCATAAAATATTCAAATAACACAGAGAAGTAAAAAATATCAAAAAATCTGAATCATTTATCTTTATACATTATCAATCTGAAGAAACTACTGTTAAGAACACCAGAGGTCCGATATGACACCACATTAGGGTTAACTGAGTAAAGATATCCCTAAAGATGTAGATGGCTTCAAAGACTTCATAAAATATTCAAATAAAACAGAAAAGTGAAAAATATCAACAATCTGGATCATTTATCTTTATACATTATCAATCTGAAGAAACTACTGTTAAGAACACCAGAGGTCCGATATGACACCACATTAGGGTTAACTTAGTAAATATATCCCTAAAGAAGTAGATGGCTTCAAAGACTTCATAAAATATTCAAATAACACAGAGAAGTAAAAAATATCAAAAATCTGAATCATTTATCAATCTGAAGAAATTACTGTTAAGAATTTGAAAACCTTGCCAATTTTATACTACAGAGTTAAGGTGCTGTTAAAAATTTTCCAAATTATTCACTTCATCTTACTTGTTCACACATTATGATAACAGCTGAAGCTGGAGGAATCTCATCCTTGATTATAACAGACACGGGAAAAGACATCAGTCCGACTAGATAGATTATATACAACGTCAAGAATATGTAGTCCACAATCCCTATCATGAGAAACAATATTTAAGTTGTTATTGAAATGATTTAATTTTTTTTTAAATAACTACAGTGTCTTCTAATATGGATTTAAGACAATATCAAACTGATAAAACCTTTGGTTTATCCTAATAATCTTAACTATTTCTATACCTTTTTTTCCTAAAAGAAACTTTTAAAAACCTTCAAACATATTTCAGGTGTTGACTTCACAAAACGTTAAAGAATCATGGGAGTTATTACTTTATCTTCTAATTTTTATGTCATCTGGTGATAATTTAAAGTATTGTGTTGTTACGTCTCTGTTCATTAGTTAATTTTCCGTAAATTCGTTCCGATGAAACTCTAGCGACACGAGTCCTTTCTTAAATAAAACTGGTTTATTCTTTCTGAATATAACTTTG